CGAGCAAGCCGTTGCAGACGTCGGTGACGATCCCGTGACCCAGGAGGAGTCTCTTCCCGAACAGTGTCGTTAGCGCCGCCGTGCATCCGGCGAGGGTGGTGGTGACGGCGGTTCTACCGATGGAGCTCCATTGGCCGTAGAAGGAGCTTCCCGGCGTTCCGTACGATTTGAAGATGTTGATGAAGGAGCCTGGGTTGAATCCGTACCATCCGAACCAGAGCAGGAACGTTCCGAGGACGACCAATGTCGCGCTGTGGCCGCGCATTGTCACTGGTTTGCCGGCGTGATCGAATCGGCCGATTCTAGGTCCTTCGATTAGAGCTCCCCATAGTCCGGCGATGCCTCCGACCATATGAACGACGCCAGAGCCGGCGAAATCTATTACCCCAGTTCCAAACAGAAGGTTCTCGGACCTCGCGGGACTCGCCCACCCATCGGAGGACCAGAACCAGTGGGAGACGATTGGGTACACGAGTCCGGTGAGGAACGCCGAATAGATGAGATAGGCGACGAATTGTGTCCTCTCGGCGATAGAACCGCTGGTGATTCCGGCGGCGGCGATGGCGAAGGCCCATTGAAAGAGGAAAAACGGGTAATCAAAGGAAGGGGAAGGGAAATCGTTCATGCCGAAGAAATGTTTGCCGATGAATCCGTTGGAAGGACCACCGAAGGCGAAGGCGAAGCCGAAGAGGTAGTAGAAGATACCTCCGGCGGCGGCGTCGAGGACGTTGGTGAGCATGATGTTCATGGTGTTTTTGGCGCGCACGGATCCTGCGCAAAGCATCGCAAACCCTAACTGCATCGCGAAGACGAGGTACGCCGAGAAGAGGAGGTAAGTGTTGTCGATGGCGTAGGCCGCGTCGGCGAATTTGCCGGCAACAACGTCGAATCTGCCGCAGATGTACTCCGCGGCAGCGGCTGAGCAGGAGAGAGCCGCCGCCATTTGTGAGAATGGGAGAGAATTCGACGAGTTCTGAGGAATATAGGAAGGAGCTAAAGGGGTTTATAATGAGAGATTCACGCGATTCTATTGGTGGGATTTGAATCTTGTTGGAGTGTAGGATTCCCCTAAATTAAAAAATAATAATATTAAAATAATGTCTTTAAAATTAGGATTCACTTAACAGATTTTACCAATTTTTAGGACGGCTGCTTCGCTAGGTGCTTGGCTGTGATTTCCCAGAGCGTGGCTGTTTCTTACCTTTCTCTAAATTAATTTCCTATTTTACTCCATATTTTTTGTATCTATATTTCCAAATTTCAAAATTACTTGTTCAGCAAATATTTTACTCCATTTCTTTTACATCTATATTTCCAATTTCAAAATTACTTCTTGAGAAAATATTTTCCTAATTGTTTATCATCGATATTATTCCATACAAGTGCATATTGACCATAATCATTTTGCCGTATCCTACCAAAAATGAGTGATTTGTATTTTGTACCAACTACCATTTTCAACATATTTCTCTCTCTCTCCCGAAGCTAAACGGTTCAACTTTAAACTACATGCCGTTTGCTCCCAGAGGCCACCAACTTCGCGTCAGTCTAAGCAACAAAGAACGGCGCTCAGGTTACATTCCTTGCCACCTTATACACTTCAAGAGGGTCGATTCAATTAATCACGGAAGTTTTCGAAATCAAATGTAAACGTACCTTCGTCGGAGGCAACCGGCGATAGCATTGTCCACGAGCCATTATTCTTCAAACTCCGGCAAGAGCTTGCTTTGTCTGATTCTGATTGACTTCCACTGTCAGTCAATCTCCGGCCTGGCTGTCGAGCTAACTCACGTGGGTTCGAGAAACGGGCATGGCCGGTACATTACTTGATCGCGTCGTGTCGTGCGATTGTGTTCCCGAGTTGGCGAAATCTATTTTCATGTTTTTTATTCCTCCCCCCATGACTACGGTCCATAATTTTAAGATTGTCCCAACCAAAACAAAGCCTTATATTATTAAAGCCCATCATGCTCTGATGTCATGCCGGCCTTAGTGGATATCCATAATAAAAAAAATGGAAGTTTCATATTTATTTGTTCTGAATTATAAAATATCAAAATTGCGAAAAACAAAAGAGAATCTTCTCATGATATTTTTTTTTGTGTGCGCGCCCATGAGAATAACACCTTTTAAGTCGCGTATCTATTTTTCTTGTCATGTTTTTTTTAGTGCACATAGTAAAATATCTCACCGAAATTTTTAAAAAAAAATTACAAGATTTTTATTGATAGGTTTAACTAGAGGCCTAGAATTAGAATTTAGATTATTACAATTTTTTTTAGATAATCGGTTATTTGATATCAAGATTCAGACTAATTCCGATATCATGAACCATGATTTAGATTATAAGTTCATTCCTCAAATTTAAAGTTCAAATTCAGGATAAAATAAATATTTTACGTCATGTTTTATCGTTTATCGGTTGAATTATTCAAATTTTGGTGAAAGTCATAACAGTTAAATACAACTAAAACATGCACACCAAATATGCTATTTAATCGTTATAATGGCCATTTCCTTATGTCAACGCTCATCCAAATCACAATTATCACATTCAAAATAACAGTACTTTCTATTCTATCAATTTAAAAAACCCATATTCACCGGGTTTTGATCCGGGTCGGGTCGGGTTGGAAATCCACGAGCTGTTCGCTATAAATTACGGCTACTTGAAAGAAAGATAAAAGAACTCGACTCGACTGGTCGAATAGCTACTTGGAGTTGACGGAAGCCACACACGAGGTCCTGAGAACGAAAAGACGACGCGAAATGTAAGTTTGCATCACTTTCTCGCCCTCGAAATGCTCCAAGGTACTTTTGATTCAGACAATCTTGTCTATATTGGTACCATTCTTCTCGTAATGTGTTTTTCTTCCGAATTCGTGGATTCGGAAAACGAAACAGGGAAAATGGTGGTAGCGAGTTGAAGCCGATGGATTCGGAGCAGCTGAGAGAGTGCGGGCATAGAATGGTCGATTTCATCGCTGATTATTACAGAACCATCGAGAACTTCCCTGTTCTGAGCCAAGTTCAGGTTATCGCAATCTTCCCGCTTTCCTTTGCTTTTGAAGATCCATTTTATTGGAAAAATGAATTTCCTGGTCTGGGCTATGGCTATCAATGGAATTGATTCTGAATTAGTAATCTGTTGTGGGATTCTGATTCAATCTGTTTGACCGTAGTCATAAGACGCATGCGGAATCTCAATTTTCTGAGAGAGATGTTACTCATGCTCGAAACACTTTGAAACCCTGCACAACACTGATTCAAATTTACTGTGGGTTTGAATTTGATCACTTTGGTGTTCTTCTGCTATTAGTTTGGACTTTTATTTATCTCAATTTGAGGATTAAGGAAGAAGAAGTTCTGATTTCCCATTTTCGGTTTCGATTTTGAGTAACGTTGTCTACTTGATGCAGCCTGATTATCTTCGTAACCTTTTGCCGGATTCTGCGCCTGACCAACCCGAGAATTTGGAAGAAGTCCTTAGTGGTAAAGCAACTGATACTTCCTGCTAGTGTTCGTGCATGTAATATTGCAACGGATGTATACATCTTTGGTTGACTATGATTTGTTTGCGGATTTATCTTTCTTGTTTGAGTTTGCTATTGCAATGCAATTAAAATCAGATGAATGGATGTGATTCTTGTAGAAACAATTTATCTTCTTCGTAAAAAAAAAATAGGTATAGGTGGAATATGTTATCTCTGCTGATTGTAACTGTAATCATCTTGTTTCCGGTTGCTTCACAATGTGAGTTGCAGATGTTCAGGAGAAGATACTTCCTGGATTAACACATTGGCAAAGCCCGAATTACTTTGCATATTATCCTTCTAACAGCAGCATTGCCGGGTTCTTGGGCGAGATGCTCAGTGCTGGTCTCAACATCGTTGGTTTTAGCTGGATTACTTCTCCAGCTGCCACAGAGCTCGAAATGATTGTTCTAGATTGGCTTTCCCAATTGCTCAACCTACCGGAGCAGTTCCTTTCGAAAGGTATGTTAGGTTTATCAGATCTGACATACCTTTTGAAAGGAACTGTTCCAGCCATGAGTTCGTATTGTAGGAAATGGAGGTGGAGTGATACAAGGGACAGCTAGCGAAGCTGTTCTAGTTGTCCTAATTGCTGCCCGTGACAAGGTTTTGAGAAAGGTAGGGAAAGATGCTCTGGAGAAGCTCGTAGTGTATGCATCGGACCAAACACATTCCTCCCTGCAGAAGGCCTGCCAGGTCACGTAACGAATATCTCACTCACCTAAAAATATCTCAATCTTTGTATACATTGCAAGTTTTCGGGCAAGAAAATTTTTTAAAGAATCAACCTACCGGAGCAGTTCCTTTCGAAAGGTATGTTAGGTTTATCAGATCTGACATACCTTTTGAAAGGAACTGTTCCAGCCATGAGTTCGTATTGTAGGAAATGGAGGTGGAGTGATACAAGGGACAGCTAGCGAAGCTGTTCTAGTTGTCCTAATTGCTGCCCGTGACAAGGTTTTGAGAAAGGTAGGGAAAGATGCTCTGGAGAAGCTCGTAGTGTATGCATCGGACCAAACACATTCCTCCCTGCAGAAGGCCTGCCAGGTCACGTAACGAATATCTCACTCACCTAAAAATATCTCAATCTTTGTATACATTGCAAGTTTTCGGGCAAGAAAATTTTTTAAAGAAGCAAAGGTGTTGGTTTATTTTGACAGATAAGTGCAATCCGTCCGGAGAATTGCAGATTGCTGAAAACTGATGCGTCAACGAATTATGCACTCTCCCCAGAATCACTTCAAGCAGCAATTTCACATGATCTTGCTTCAGGATTGATTCCATTCTTCATATGTGCTAGTGTAAGAAAGAGCTGCCAACAACGCTTATGCTTACATTTCATCTCGTGAAACATCAGATCAGCTGATTTGCCCATATAATTCTTCTTTACAGGTAGGTACCACTTCTTCAACTGCAGTCGATCCATTACCTGCCTTGGGAAGGATCGCTAAGGTAATTCACATTTGAACATTCTTTAAAAGATTAACCTTCAAGAATAAAAGAGGAAGCATTTTTTTTCATTAATTGTAATCATCGGTTGTGATGATATATCTGTTATGCATTGTTAGGACAACGAGATGTGGTTTCATGTGGATGCTGCATATGCTGGAAGTGCCTGCATATGTCCAGAGTACAGGCAATATATTGATGGAATTGAAGAAGCGGATTCCTTTAACATGAATGCTCACAAATGGTTTCTCACGAATTTCGATTGTTCGTTACTTTGGGTGAAGGTACATCCATTTATCAATCCAATATGTTACCATTTGCTTTTGAAGAGCTCCAGATCTTGGGCATCGCTATTTTTTAGTGTTCTCACCTGCATTAACCTTGAATGCTTGTTTTGATGATCGGAAACAGGACCGGAATTCTCTCATTCAGGCTCTTTCAACGAATCCCGAGTTTCTTAAAAACAAGGTAATGCCCTCTCCTCTTCATGTGCCTAGCTGAAAAAAGGTCATCGAATTACAAAGTCTCTTGTTTTTTTATTCATCTCTGATATATGTGATTGGCCAAACATGACACATATTTAATGTGTGGTTATTTCAGGCCTCCCAGGCAAACTTGGTCGTGGACTACAAAGATTGGCAAATCCCTCTGGGGAGAAGATTCAGGTTCTTTATAATTTTCTTTTTCCAGAAACATCATGGCCTTATAGTTCTAATCAAAAAGTGAAATGTATAGTTGAATTGGTTCTCAGATCATTGAAACTGTGGATGGTTATGCGGCTCTATGGATCCGAAAAATTGCAATGCTATATAAGAAACCACATCAATCTGGCTAAACATTTCGAGGAGCTTGTATCTGGAGATTCTCGTTTCGAGGTAAATAGAAAGCTTAGAACTTTCTAGAAGATTTTTCCTTTTTTTTGGCATGTTGATGATGATGTGCAAGAAATACGGGAAATTAACGTCCTAGCTCGGTTCCTTCCACAGATCGTTACTCCTCGGATATTTTCACTTGTATGCTTTCGACTTAAACCTGTCGACAACGACGAAGACAAGTGTAAAAAACAGAATCATGAGCTACTAGATGCCGTGAATTCGACCGGGAAAATGTTCATTTCTCACACTGTAAGTGAAGTCGGCTCTTCGCTTAATCCATTTCTGCTTTCTTCTTTCACGTCTTATGATCTGTTTGGTCACTGAACCAATGTAACATATCTAAACACCAAACATTTTATAGGAGAAATCGACGAAATAGAGAAGTTTTGTTTGATAAATTTGCGTAAGAAAAAAAAGCACGTGTTTTGTGAATGGAAAACAGGTTCTGTCGGGAAAATTCGTGCTACGTTTTGCGGTAGGAGCGCCGTTAACGGAGGAGAAACACGTGAAGGAGGCATGGAACAATATTCAGGAACAGGCCTCCAAATTGCTTGGCGTCCACGCAGGATAAATGAAAGTTTTCTTATTCATGAAACCAACCTTATAATCGAATGTATCGATACTTGGAATAAGACACGTGCTTTTCATCAATATGATCGATTGTCTTCGAACGTGATTCATGCTCAACATTTTCAACTAGTTTTACAATTTTCCAGAAGAAAAAACAAGAAGATTTTGTGGAATACATGATTGTTTTTTTTAATTCGCATATTAATACACGAATTTATAAAAATCTCATATAATTGTATAAATTTTAAAATTTTCAAAGAAAAAAATATTCCAACAATTCATAACTTCTATATTAAAACCTGAGTTTTTAAACGAGTTGAATATCCAATTTCAAAGTCGGATATCACAAATGTTCGGACATCCGCAGAATAGCCTACCGACGAGAGAGCGAGGCGAGGAAATGTATTGAAGCAAACCGAGCGGCGAGGTGTCAGATGGAAGCTCCTCAAGTATATATATACACGTATACATATATATATATATAGAGGTTCAGGTTTTGTTCTTCAATACACTGGAAACAGAACTTTGAGTCTTTCCATGCACATATACTGTATATATACATACATACATACACACACACAGCCAGCCATCTTTGTGTGCGAATTACAAGCAAAACTCAGGACTCTTTTATAGTTCACCATCAAGTGTGATGATATACAGTGTCTATACTCCACGGAAGACATGGATTTAGAAAGGACAACAAAAAAAACATATACTAGGTTGAAACAGTAGAGCAAAGACCCTTCACGTGTCAGTCTTCTTCCCCCTCTGCCTTATTAGGCTTGAAGTTAAAAACGATTCACAGATAGGTTCATGAGATCATCTGAGCTGCAAATGAGGATTAAAAAAAAATGGTTACAAATAACAAATTGTTGTGGCTGAACAATGTGATTGATTGAGAGATTTAGGGTCTAAAGCTTTACTTGTCCCGGTGGCCTCCGACGTTCTCATTATCCGCAGCTTTCTGACAGAGAAAAGGAACATCCTGGACAAAGTCACAGAGGTTAAACGTAGATTCAGGGTTTAGGGTTTTGAATCCGGAAGCTATGGATTAAAAGCTTTAACTTTGAGATGATCAGAATAAGGAGACCGGCATAACATGTGTGATACATAGTCACATACCCCCATGGAACATCGCCAACAAGCATCCAGTCTCCCTCTGTGTCCTCGTATGTTAGCACGAATCCAGAAGAACCATCCAGAAGGTTTCCTGTGTGGGCATCATTTTCTCGTGCATTTGATCCTGATTGCACAAAAAAAACCGAGCTTTATGAGAATGGAAATTCATTCTTAGACACATCCCAGTTCAAAATAAACTAAGGAGACCAAGGAAACCTCCAAAGCTAAGCAGAGATGGGAAACTCATAAGTTGCAGAGATACCTGCTGAAGGTCTCAGAAACATTTCCTCCAGAGTCTTTGACAATGACTTGTAGGATCTATGAGCGTTCAGATCAACTTTTCTTCCAATGGGAATGCCATCCATAGTAACCTTCACAAACATTGAATTTCTGATCTTTGAATCGGTTCTGACAATTGCTCTGTTCTTGCTTACGTTTTCGCGATTCTCTGGACTCAGCTCTCCAGTGGCTAATGTCTTGGCTTGGTTAACCATGCTGTTCATCCTGTAACTTCTGATCGGTGGCCATCCCACAACTTGCCTGTAATTTCATGTTTCGGGGTTTCAAAAGCTGAACAATAGAACTAGAGGCAAGGATTAAAATTCAAAGTCCGTGAACTGCTTCTCAGGACAGGTTCATCAAACTAACAACTCCCACCACAAAACGCATTACATAAAACAATAGCGAGAAGAGAACATCAGCCCGGATAAAATTCTCAAAGATGCAAGATTCCAGGACTGATATATGTTTATCCTACGAAGAGCAAAAGCTCTCCACCCTATCAATCATTCAGAATAAAGATTGAAGCTAGGGGGTTACCCACCACTCTCCAGAGCACCGTCTCAATTGAAAGATGTTATTCACTGTGCTACAAGAAAATGCTCATATAAGTAAGAGCCTGTACTTATGATTCTACGAATAAACATGTACTTCCCATCATATAGATCTATAGACACGAAGAAGACCATGAAGATACCAAGTCTTTTGTAATCCCAGAAAGCAAAGCACAAGTTTTCGTGTGGTTCTATGGATAATCATAATCACGAGAAATATCCAGCTTATGCCACACGATACCATGGAAATTCCAGATAACCATGAACAAAGACAAAGTCTTCCACAGTCTAACACCTAGAATTCTACGGATACTCATCCACCCTCGAGCATTGAACACGCAATAACACGAAATTTCCAGAACACGAGAGAGGAGATTTTGTCTTATAGAGAGAGAAGAATCTTACCCATTAGTCGCGGCCATCGAATCAGCTGCCCTCTTGACCCCAGCCGTCGCACTAGCCCTGCTCAACGAAGAAGAAGCGGAAGAACAATCCTCAGAGCACGAGACCCCAGAATGCCGTTGGCCGTTCGGGCGGAGGCTCAACGCGAGACCGAGATCGATCTCGGTCTCTACCGGACAAGACGAATCCTCGTAAGAAACGACGAGATTGTCATCGTCCGACACCGTCGACGCCGACCCACTCGCGGAAGGGCCTTCCATTCGAGAAATCTGCTTCGGGGGATCCGGACCCAGGTGCTGTTAATCGCAGAGAACCTCAGAGAAGAATCGATTATTCGCAAGGGAAGAAGAGATGGGTTGAATCGGAAGCAAAGTTTTGGACTTTAAGTAGGCGAACAGTGAGGAAGAAATACAAGGGGGAAACAAAGGATGAACAAGAAGACATGACGGGTGGGATTTGTCCCTTTTTTCTATTTTTTTCCCCACAATTTGTCCCCTCAGTCCTTTTCTGGGTGCTTAGAACACACAGAGAACGGCCTTCTTTGGTACGTGATTATTCCATTTAACATAAAATCACACTTAAATAATTTTAAAAAAAATTGGCCACTTTTATCTTGAGGAATATATATATATATATGTATATTTATGAATGCAGCAGATTTTAAAGATTCCCCTGTTTCAATTTTTAAAACGGGTGAAAGAATTAGCAATTGAAAAATATCTAAACGTTTTTTTTCAATAAAATCTAAATATGTACATTTTGTGGGGACAGAAAAGATTAACGTTTTATACAAATCATCCAAGAATTAAATTTAAAAAAAAAAACAATTTATTCCATTTCAAAAGGAAATCGATTGCATTCTCTGATCATAATAAAAAATCACATTTTTGTGTTCTGATCGTAGCTATGGATATGATTTGACTTTAGCTATGATTTGACTGTTGACACCATAACCACAGTTTTCAATTCATATCGTAAATAAGAAAAAAAAAACATAAATAGAGACAAAAAAAATATAAAAAAATGCGTGCACTCGTGGGGCCCACATTGACATGTCAGCTTCAATCGGACGGCTGTAAAAGGACCTTGTGGGTCCCATGTGAAAAGAAGCACCATTAAATCCAACGGTGGTACGTGAATCCGATAACCTGTTAGGCTTCATTTTCAACACTTATCAACTCCCTAATCATATTTTTATTTAAAATATTCAATGTAAATCTAATATTAGCATCTAATTAAATTTCAGTGGAAGGAAATTAATAGCGAGCATCTTTTTCTTTAATTCTTGGTGGGTGTACGAATAAGACCCTGTCGTCTGGAGCGAAGACATAACCGACCGTTGCTTCCTTACTTTTCAAATATACCTTCTAATTACAATAATTAAGAAACGTATTATATCTTTCTGAAATTTCTTTATAAATATTATTATACCATTTGGAAATTAATTTAGTTCTCTTGATTAAGGTGATGATTTTGATTATTAACTAAATAATATAACCGAATCGAATCCAATATAAAAATTAAAATCCGAAAAGATCAAATTATAATCGAATAAAAAAAATACCGAAAAACGATAATTTGTTTTTAAAAAAAGTTTTTTATTAATAAAAATATAAATATGAAATCGAATCGAAATTAATATAAAAATTAAATGGTTGTAATTTTTCTATAACTGAACCATGAAAGAGCCAGTCTTGACCTTAAACAAAACTTAAATACTAAACTTTAAATTCCAAATCCTAAAATCCACAGCTCTAAACTTTAATTTGATTTTACGGTTTGGAATTAGTTTAAAATATATGGTTTAATGTTTGAAATTGTAGATAAAGTAAAAAGTAATAATAAAAAGGAAAATTAAAAAAATTTGTCAAATGATCCAATAAACTAGTACACGCTTGGGTGGGGATAGGATTCGGTACAGCGGCTCCACAGAGGAAAAGGAATGTCCTCTCAGATTCCAAGATGATTTTAATGGGCAAATCATATTTTCCCATTCATTTCAGACAAAATAAAAAAAAATGAAAAACAATCCATTCTCAAGCTCCTTCCTTCTCCGACCCCCCAAGGTGAAACCTCTAATCGGGTCAGAGACTTTCATTCGATGGTTTCAAGGTTCATCCTTTCTCATGATGATACAAATTGTATAGGGAGGGACAAGATTTTACATGTCCCTTCCATCTCATGGGTCCGAACAACATACGACACGACCCCGTTGCCAAAACAAATCATGGAAAGAAGAAAACAAAACACGTCTAAACCCATGTGCATATCAAATATAAGCCAGAGTTTAGAGCAATACCTCCACTGCATCAAACAGCTTTCAGATGCAAGATTCCGCTGCCTTGTTGTGGTCCATTCACTGGAAATGAACAATACACAGAACGTCCATTGTGGGCAACTAAAGATGTCCCTTCTTTATCCCTTTCTCCGTCCCCTCCACGGCCACAGAATTGAACAGTCATCAACCAGAAGAATCCCATTCCAGGAAAAAGAAAAAGAAAAAGAAGATACTGTAGCCATTATTGAAACCCCGTTTCCTTATTCATCCCTGGTTCAATGTAATCAATACAGATCACAGGAACTACATGATGAAACAGCAAAAAGAAGAACATAATGGATGTACTCCAATGGCTTGTTAAAAGCTAATTTCCAATGTGGAGGAGAAGGACCGGTATGAACTTAACTGTGAAGCAACATCATATGACTGGTTCTCATGAGAGTTTGAAGACTAAGAGGTGCTCAAATTTCAACCACAAGGTTTTCTCTTCTCAAGCTAGACTGTATCCACCAATGCAGACTGTGATCTTTTAGCTGCAATTAATATGCAGAATACTCGATTGACTAACTACATTCACCGATACTCAGGCCCTTTTTTACGGCTGTAGAGATGTATCTTAATGGTCAGCTCCTTATCGACAATAAATCAAACTTCCTCTAACCTGTAACCTACTCCTAACTCCAACATATTTATTCCTGAAATGTGAAAATTTCTGTCTCGTCGATATTCTCATAATGTCCTCCGGCAAAGTAAACAATAAATTAACCTTCCATGGAGTAAGAAGATGTTATGTGGAACGAAAGAGTTCAACTTCGATGTAAAGATGATACATCACCTGCTATAATCATGGTAGATAGAGAGGACGTCAAGAGATCTTTCCTTTCCATCACTTGCACATTTCATTAAGCTGTTCCAAAGACAACCATATCAGCCCAATCAACCACTAAGTGCCATGCTTTGTTCCTATATACAAAACCACGCTAATGACCAGTCATAAAGGCGTGTTGTATCATTGTATATACGTCCGTCTGTTCTACCCACATTAACTGACAACTGACATGAAATCCAGAGGCCTAAGTGAGGAATTCAACATGATAAGAGCAAATTCAGGGCTTTCAAGAATTTCCCATGTGGGAGATCACGAAACTATTTCATCCACACGTCACAGATCAACGGAATGAAATGCTTGACTCTACGAACGAAGACACTCTAATGGAGGACAATCAATTTCTTTCTGATCACAACATCAGAACACGACACAAACCCACAATTTCCCGCCTCGCAGGAGATGCCAATCGCATATCTTCCCCTTCTCCTTTTTACACGAATTACACCGAAAAAAGGAACGTTAAAACGAGAAATTCAAATTCAAGAAGCAAAATCAGTTGAAGAATCGGAGTCCGAATCAATGAGGAACTACAATTTTTCGCTTACGATGAAGTTGGCCAGCCTTTGAAGAAAGAAATGCATCTCCAGCCGAGTATTTCCTGTAGATTTCTCTGTCGATTCTTCAGGTGATTCTTCCAGGGCCTTGAATCGACTCGCCGATTCCACCCGGGTCATGATCTCTAGGATTCTGGGGTTTTCAACTCGGTCAATAGATCTCGCTCCACTGAATTTCGCCCTTGGGAAGTTCCCATTGGGAACCTGTAAATGCAATTCCACCGGGTTTCCAAATATAAACGGCTCACAAAATGGTAAATCTATCATCTCGTGGTTAATTTTGAAATATAAATACAAATTAAATAATCGCATTATATAATAATATAAAAGCTATATAATTATGGAGCCATTTTGGGCCCTTTAAGCGAGTGAGAGAGCACAAAGTCGCAGACATCGGAAAAATAAACAGAAGAAAAGAGCAAGCCCACGTGCAGCCCACCAGACAATTTGCTCCTTCTCCAGTAAAAATGCTACACGTGGAAACGTTTATAAGTGGGTCCCACATGGAGAGATTTACCACGCGCCGCGCGTGATAGATGACGACCGATCCCCCTTCCTTTGTTAGCACAGCCACCACCTCCACCCAGCGAGCCAACGCTAAGGGGGAAAAAAATCAAAAGAAGAACAAAAAAGGCGAGAAAATCATAGTCCACTTCATCTGGCGGACGACGCGCCTGTGTTGGCTCTCGTTCGTTCGTCGTGGTGTCTCTGGATTCGATTCCTCCTCCCGGTTTCTGTTTTTCATGAATTTTTAGGTGAGATTTCGATTTTTCAAGTTTGATGAATTATGGGGTGAGAATTCCCATTTTCCGACCGGGATTCGGGATATTTGTTGTTTTATCGACGAGCCCTTTTGGGTTTCGATTGAATCTGGCTGTTCTTTTTTCTGCTCGAGGGTTTCGGATTCGTTTGGGTTTTGTGTGCCTTTTGTGTTTCGTGGGTATTTGCTATTTGGTCTGATATTGTGTAGCTTTAGCAATGATTCTCGATGCTTATGTCTTCTTTATACGCCAAATTTTGTCTGCGGGCATCTCTAGTTTCGTCTCCCGATAATTTCACAGCTGATTTTCCATTCCCTCGCTTGCTTCTACGTTGTATTTCTTTGGAGATTTCGAACATTTTCAGCAGGTAGTGAAAGTCTGAACCTCGAAGTGATGTTGCTGTGCTTTTTTTTTTTTTTTGGTTGTATTTCAGTTAGATCGTATTTGGGTTCCTGCCATGTTCGAGCGAATGCACCAGTGGTAATGACCCAGTTGTTCCCTTGCTTGGATATGCTTGTATCTTTTGTTTCCTTTTGTTGTTTTCCTTAAGATCGGTGTATACGGACATATATAGTATGGCTTGCGTTTTATGTATCTGCAGTTTCCTCCTCAGAATCAGTAAAGTGATTAAATATGATCTTATTCATCTGTTTTACGATATACCAGATGCAAGAGTTGATGATTTCTTCTGGTGGTGCATCCGCTGGAATCTTGGAGAATAAAAAATATTGCTTTTTGGGATATTAGCAAGGTTGGTGTTGTTGAGAGATATGTAAATGAAATGTGCCGAAATCTGTTAACATAACCAGATATCATAATTTGTTTCTACTTTCTAGGACGATAATGGAGGCTCGCCCGATTCACAGGTCTGGTTCGAGGCTGCTCGATAACCTAGCACGCGCTTCGTCAATGCCATCTGTTCCGGTTACAAGCCCTTCAGAAGAGATCTACTCGAAATCAGAAAACATTCAACGGGTATCGCTGCTAGAACGGGAAATTATGTCGAGACCTTTAGGGGAAACTTATCAATTGCTTTCTGCAAATGGTGGAGCAGTTGGCCATATATTCTCTTCATCGTCGGGGTTATCAAGCGATCTCCATCACTCGTCCATTCAACATGCAGGGAACAGCAATGCGCCTTTCATTTCTCAGACATCTAGTAACAACGGTTCTTGGTGCCCAGACTCTCTCCCGGGGTTTCTTGATTTTCCAGCTAACTCGCCTATTCATAACGGTCCAATGGAGGGCAGTAGCATCATGGTGTCCGATGACATTAACAAACGGGGCGACTGGCAAGAGTGGGCTGACCACTTGATCACTGATGATGATGCTCTGATGTCTACTAACTGGAATGACCTTCTGATTGATACCAGCTCCAATTCAGATTCAAAGGTTGTTATCCTTGTTCCATTTCTTTGTTTTGTTTTATGCACCGTATCAGATCTCGGAACCAATATTGAGCTTCTCTGATCACTTTATATTGATTTCTAGGAGTAAATTCTGATTCCTAAATGCAGAGATGATTCTTTTTTATCCAAAGATGAATCTTTTCATCTTGGACAGCTAACAGAGAGTGAGAGTGAAAAACCAATAGGAACACAGATTCAAGCTTCTTTTCTCATTCTCCCTTTCACTTCATATCCATGTTCTCAGTACATTTTTTTTTTTTGTCTTTCTTGCAATGCAATTCTAGGGTCAGAATCTTTGTACCCAAACACCGATCCAGCAACCCTCCCAGGTTGTTCAGCAGCACCCTTCTCCATCTCTGGAACTGCGACCTGTTGTTAATGCAACATCCTTAAACAACAACAACAACAACAGTAACAACAATAGCAATAATGCATCATCGGCTAAGCCACGCATGCGTTGGACACCGGAACTTCACGAGGCATTTGTCGAGGCTGTCAACCAGCTCGGTGGCAGCGAAAGTGAGTCTCTCTCTCTCTCTCTCTCTCTGTACTTGTATTAAAGTCCTCGGCTTTTTTGTTGAATGATAAAAGTATCTGCTTTGACTGATTCGTCATCTTACTTTCATGCAGGAGCTACTCCTAAGGGTGTTCTGAAGCGTATGAAAGTCGAAGGCTTGACTATATATCATGTGAAAAGCCATTTGCAGGTTCTTGTTGTTATTCTTCCTTCCGGCCATTGGTTCTTGATTATCGCAAAGATTCTTCTGTTAACAAGAGCTGAGATTTTTCTTCTTTAAACTGCAGAAATATAGGACTGCAAGATATAGGCCAGAACCATCCGAAGGTTTACAACCCGAAAAATTTTCTCCCTTGATGCTTTGTGCTGAAAATTTCCTTGATTCTCTTATTCAAGATTACATTCTTTGATGATTCCAGGTTCTTCGGAGAAGAAGTTAACCCCTCTTGAACAGATTTCGTCTCTTGATTTGAAAACGTAAGGTTCTATAGTCGATATCATTCGCAAGCATTACCGTTATAGTCAAACAGAATCACTTGCATGAAGTCTCTTCTAAATTACCATTGATTGTCTGATATCTAACAGTGGCATAGATATAACTGAGGCCCTTCGACTTCAGATGGAAGTACAGAAGCAACTCCACGAGCAGCTTGAGGTAACATCAAATCTGTCCTTTTAGCATCAACCATAAATCCGCTCATGAATTTTGGTCTTGAGTTTTTTTTATGAGAAAAAAAAACGAGCTTTAGCTCGTGAAAGCTGCAAAGAGACAAAAGGCAAACTATGTGTTTTAAACTCTTCGAATTTGAAATCTAAACGAATGGCAGTGTTTCTATCTTCCCCCTCTCAGATTCAAAGAAACCTGCAGCTTCGGATAGAGGAACAGGGGAAGTACCTGCAGATGATGTTCGAGAAGCAAAATCCGGGTACCGACAAGCTGAAGGGCTCATCCTCGTCCAATCCTGAGAATGTCATACCGGATTCTCCCACCAAACCTGAAGAGGAAAACAAGAAAACAGCCGATACCGAGAAAACGCGCAAAAATGCTTCAGAGAAGCAAGAAGAAGATGGAACAGAGGAAACCCGTAAATCCGATGATGACCCGGAATCACATTCACCGCAGCCAAAGCGCCAGAGAAAGGACGAATGAATGGGGAACTCTCTAAGGTGAAAAATTGGGTCAGACGGACAAGAAGATGGTAATTTTTTCAGGAGAAATGGGGTTTGAGTGAGATAGAGAGAGAGAGAGAGCTTCTGCTGTTGTTAAAGTTCTTCTCAGTTTTAACTATTTTTCAGATGGAAAACCCTTTCAGCTGCTTTGTAGAACAAATAAGAGCAAAATATTGGGAAAATTTTCTATCTTTTGGATGGATGTAATCAGAGTGCGTTCAACTTCTCTCTAGTTCATGGATATTGAAAGGTGTGTAAAAGAGTTAGATATCATATTATATTGTAGTACTGCATACATTTTATCTCGCGTGTTTGAATCTGTCCATTTTCCAGGCCCCACAATTTCGTTTAATTAATTTTGTGAGGATGAGCGTAATTTTGTCTTCTTTTTTTTTATGTGTCCGTGTGATTATTATTTCCATATCTGATTTTTTATTTTATTTTTTTGCCAACAAAATACAAAATAGAATGAGGCTAATTTGATAGGGATTTCGTATAAAAATAATCTAAAAGAACCGAATCATTGAGGTTTTGATGTAATTGACGGCCGTGGTGGGAGTTTTATAAAGGTCGACCTGCCAAACCCGTTGAAATTTAATATGGTAAATTGAATAAACAATAGATAACTTTTTAGACGATGGAATATAGACAATTTCTATCCAATTAACCGTCAAAAATTGCATGTACAGTAAGATTCAACAAGAAAAAGTTACCAAAATGGAAAACGGGGGGCTCATGTGTGACGACCAATGAGCTACTGCCACATGTACGGCCATCAACGCATCTTAATCGCACGGCCTCTCCACGCGAATGTACTACTGCCACGTGTACAAAACCATGCGCATGTTGGCGAATCAATCAACGCCACATGTACGGCGTAAAACACATCATCTCAACTTCAAGATCCCGGCGAGCTGCGACGGGTTAACAACACCGGCCAAGTGGGTACCGCCGGCCTTCAGCAAATGACAAACCTCCGCATATCTCCGCCGCTTCTCCTCCACCGGCGGCGACGTCTTCGGCTCGGCGGCTCGATCCCTTTTCCTCGACTCGCCGGTTACGGCTCCGGCGGCTGGAGCCCGTGGTTTCCAGGGCTCGCCGAACAGGGTGCTACTCGTTAGGAACTCGTACGCGAGATATCCCGCTAAGATCTGATTTGACCGAGTCAATTCGGCGGCGTCGACGGTGGTAGGGGCGACGGCTCTCGGGAAACCGGTCTGAGCCGAAGTGCGATTCCTGACCCGCGGCGTTGCAGGTTGTTCTCCGTTTCTGCGGGGCTGTTCCGCCGTTAAAACCCGACGGGGCGGGAGACGCATCGTTTTGGTGCTCATGACTCTCTCACTTATATTGAACAGATGCCACGTCAGCAAATAGTAACGGCAATCTCGTGATCTTCACCCTGCCGTTAAGCAGCCGTTAGTGATTGAAACTGTAACCGCTAGAGAGAGGGGGAGAGAGAAGGGTGAAGACAGACGGATGGGATAAAGGGGGGGGGGTTACGAGAATATATAAAGGAATTGTCTAAGGAAACGCCCACGAGAGTCGCAGAAATTACAAAAGACGCCACCAAAAAATATCGAGTGACGAAACTACCCTTATCCATTGATCTTATGAAAATATGTGCAGGGGAGAAATAATTAAATTCCTAATGAGAGTGAGTTAATCACTGAGAGCCCTGCATAAGCTCTAATATCATTGATGGTTGCTTGTGTAGATAGGGATGATTAGATTTATATTAAAAAATAATTAATACCTTAATCTTATTTCATAAGCTAGATTTCCAAATTAGCTTGGTTATGTATCCCAATTTTCATATTAAAAAGTAACTTGTATACTCTAATATATGGTTAATTTTTTATTTTATATAGGGTAGACCCACTTGGTTGAAAAATCTTACCGATTCGCTGCATTTAATCTCAATTCCAGAAAGGTAAAGTTTCATTTCAAGACCAAAATGAGAACTCAAGCATTGACCATCCAAGTTAGATATGTCTAGGAAAATGTGATTCGGTCCAATTTATGTTATGGATTTTTGCCACAAGAAAAAGCCCAAAGCTACCTGTCTCAAGGGCCATGGAAATCTATTATATAGATAGATAAATAAACCCATTTCAGATGGATGGTAAATACTGCCCTTGGTGGGGCCCGTTGGGGATTTTAGAAAAAATTTAAAAACAAAATTAATTAGATAAATAGATAAATATGCTGTGGAGTATGGAATACAATTGATCCTCACAAACATCGGAAATAAAGGAAGACGTGGAATGGATGCAGAGATTTTTCATTCAAAATAATTACACCAAATCCATAACTAAAACAAAAACATATATTCCAATATATATATATATACACACATACACAATATAAACAGCGGCCAATTCTAATTTGTAAGAATTCAAAAACAAAATTTATCCAAAAAAAACGAGAGAGAAGAAGAATAAACTCTAAAATTGCAGCGTTCAGCCAAAAGGCAACACGCAATACCAACGAGAAGGATGACCACTCACTCCCACGAGGATCCATACTACGTACTCTGACCCCATTATTCTCCTTCATGCACCGATTATATTACACGTTCCCAAAAACAAAGAGAAAAAAAACATACACACACACTTTTTAATGTTATGTTCTTCGTCGAGACAGTCACTTGTGTGTATATATACACACACACCTACACACATAAGGCATGTATATGTGTATATATATATATATGTATACATTGATACATCTTGATACTGTTTCGGGAGATGACGTTTCGTGGTTTTCTCAAGGTTTTACGTATTGATTGTTAGAGATAACCATGGGAATATGGGATACTGTTTGCTACGAATTCTCCCTTTTCTTTTTGTCCCACCAATTGAAAATTGCATTATATATATATATATATAATATATATATATATATATATTTAAGTTTTTTTAAAAAGAATCGAACTTCAGCCTTTTTTTGCCACACTGTTTATGGATACATTAGAGGAAAGATGTATTAAATTCTATATTAGTTTTTTGTTAACTTTTACTACTGGCTGTCGAATTATAGTGTATTAAAATGTATCCTTTCATCCGAATATTTTTTTTAAAAAAATTCTGAAGCTACCTAAAAATTCAAAAGTACCGGAAACAATAGAATATCTCCGGAAGAACATCACAAAATTAAAAGAATACATATGGGGGTGAAAGTGAATAAAATAACTCTATAAGCGAATAATACATAAATAGTAAAACTTTAGGGGTAAATTTTGGAAACAGAAAAGTGGGGGAATTAGGGTCTATTCTTTCTCTCAGTCGGACACGATCGGCGTTGCGACTACTCTCTCTCTCTCTCTCTCTCTCTCTCTCTCTCTCTCTCTCTCTCTCTCCCGTTGAGCGCTTGATTCCTCTTCGCTGGTTTCGGAGCAAGAACCGAAGGATGAGAGGATTGGTGAACAAGCTCGTTTCGAGATCTCTCTCCGTTGCTGGAAAATGGCAGCAGCAACAGCTCCGCCGTCTCAACATCCACGAGTATCAGGTACTCCTCTCCATTCCGATTTCGAAGATTCAATTCTTGTGCATAGGAGTGGTTCCATTCTGAGAGTTTCTTAGGTTTGTTGTTATAGTTTGATCCTGCGATTGATTTATGATGGAAAATGATGGCTGTAAAGGTAGGAACGCCCTTGGATTCAGTATCGGATTTTGTAAAGAAGTATCTAAGAGTTTCGTTTTCAATCTACTGCGTACTAGTGGACGAGCTGGTTTACCTGTTCAGAAAATGTAGTTTTTCAGCTAGTTCTTTTGTTTTGCTTCTTTGATCTCTTTTCATGGTTACCAGGGGGCTGAGTTGATGGGGAAATATGGAGTGAATGTGCCAAAGGGAGTGGCTGTTTCTTCTGTGGAAGAAGTAAAAAAGGCTATCCAGGAAGTTTTCCCCAACGAAAATGAGGTAATATTTGGAGAGCTCTAGAGGAACAGATTATGGCCGAAACTTTTGATGTTTGAGCTGCCTGATTAATTTTGCATCTCTGTCCCGATTGCATTTTTCTGTTTATCAGTTTATTCATTGTTAATGGTTGCATAAGAGTGGCCTTTCATATGATACAGTTGGTCGTTAAGAGCCAAATTTTGGCTGGTGGAAGAGGTCTAGGAACATTTAAGAGTGGTCTTCAGGGTGGAGTTCACATTGTCAAGCGCGATCAGGTTGAAGATATTGCTGGTATGCGTGTATACTGTACCAAAAAGTTTTTTTATTAATTGCCAGCATGTGACATGCTTATGGCCTTTTATGATTGGTCTTCCATCTTGTTTCATCTGTGTCTACTAATTTGTTTTTTATTTCAGGAAAGATGCTAGGACAGATACTCGTCACCAAACAATCTGGTCCTGAAGGCAAAGTAGTGAGCAAGGTCTGTTATCAGTAACTCATGCAGGCACATAATCTGTATTTCTCTTAGTTCTCGTGTCTGCCTTAGTGCTTGCTCCTATGTTTGGGTAGGATTTTGATCAGGAGTTAACTTTTTTCTAGTTTGAATCCTTGGCCAGGTTTACTTGTGTGAGAAACTGTCACTCATCAACGAGATGTACTTTTCCATAATTTTGGATCGTAAAACTGCTGGTCCGGTATGTTACACAAACATTAACCCACCATCACTTCTCACAGTTTTTTTTTTAATATTCTGTTCTTTCTTGGCATGGTCTTTCCTAGACACCTCTCAGCAATGACTAAAAAATTTCCTGCCTGTCTCAGCTTATCATTGCCTGCAGAAAAGGAGGTACCAGCATTGAAGACCTTGCCGAAAAGTTTCCTGATATGATTGTTAAGGTTGTGACTGTATGATTTGTTTTTTATCCCCTAGAAATTACATAAGGGTCTCGTTTTCTCTGGTATTCTGTTGTAGTCCAACTGATCATTTCTCACTCTCACTTCTTGGTTTTCTATAGGTACCAATCAATGTTTTTGATGGAATTACTGATGAGGATGCTGCAAAGGTTGTGGATGGTTTGGCACCTAAAGGTGCTGATAGGAAAGATTCGATTGAACAAGTGAAGAAGCTATATGAACTTTTCTGCAAGTGCGACTGCACAATGTTGGAAGTAAGTCTAATTATCTTAATATCTTTGAACTTCCATGCACACAGTATTAGTTTACATTATATTTTGTGGTTGATATCTTGTGTTGACTCTTGTTTATATTGAGCAGATCAATCCCCTTGCTGAGACATCGAGCAACCAGTTGGTAGCTGCTGATGCCAAGTTGAACTTTGATGATAATGCTGCTTTCCGACAAAAAGGGATCTTTGCCCTCCGTGATCCCACACAAGAGGATCCACGAGAGGTATGGTCCACTATCTATTGTCTTTCTGTTATTCACTGCATTTAAAAATCTTGAAGTCAGCCTTCGTTTCGTCTCAACCCATTGAGCTTGCACATGATTAAGTGAAGAAAATAATAAAAGAGTGAATTTTGTCGTTCTTCTCCTAGGTGGCCGCTGCCAAGGCTGACCTGAACTACATTGGGTTAGATGGAGAAATCGGTTGCATGGTTAATGGGGCTGGATTAGCTATGGCTACAATGGATATCATTAAACTGCATGGTGGAACGCCTGCCAATTTCCTTGACGTTGGTGGAAATGCTTCTGAAAATCAGGTAACTTAGTTTTGCTTCAGAGTCCATATTTTCCTTCTTTAATCGGCAAGGGCAGAAGTTTTGAGTTAGCAGGCATTCCACATCCCTCTTGAAAGCTATTCAAACTTTCTGATCTCTAATTCTGGTCTTCGTGATAATCAGGTGGTTGAGGCATTCAAGATATTGACTTCTGACAAGAAAGTGAAAGCAATCTTGGTTAACATTTTCGGTGGGATAATGAAATGTGATGTGATAGCAACCGGAATTGTCAATGCTGTGAAACAGGTATGGCCCCTTATCTATTGTCAATGCTATTGACTCCGGGGAAATTTGCATTTTCAAGAAAATTCGTTCTTTCACATTTGCCTAAACAAAACACGTCTTCAATCTGTCTCACAGGTCTCCCTGAAAGTGCCTGTGGTTGTCCGTCTTGAAGGTACCAACGTTGAACAGGGAAAGAGGATCTTGAAGGTACAATTGGCCAATTGCTAATCGGCTCTTTAAATCACAATGTGATGGGCTCAAAATCGAGCCTATCGGGAAAATATTCTCAAAAAATATTCTAAATAACGATCCCCACAAATCAAGGGATCTATCACAATGTTGGTCTACATTTCTACTTGGAAAGAAAAAACACTTTCAATCTGAAACACCTGCTAATCGAATCTTGTTTCTACAGGAAAGTGAACTGTCCCTGATTACAGCTGAGACCCTGGACGAAGCTGCCAAGAAAGCTGCTATAGCTGTTAAGGTTGTTGAAGCTTTCTCGGCTCCTCTAAAAAATCCATGAGATCTGTTCAATAACAAACTGGGAGCAAAGGGGCGATCTTTTCGACATTGTCGTTTGATCATCCATTTTATGAAACACGGAACCGGATGTTTCTCTGGCAGAATCTATTTTTCTGCAGGAGCAGATGTTCAATAAAACGACTCAGAAACCATTGGAGTTTTTGTTTATCTCTTTTCGCAGTCATTCCAATGTTTTTTATTTCTTTATTCGACAACATAATTCAAGAATTCTGGATTACAAAGTTTGAGATCCTTTTGGAATCTCTTAACGTCCTTTCTTTTGCAAGGACTCAGCTATCCTTGTTGAAATGCAGTAAGAAGTGGACTGGATAGTGATCATGGGGTTTATCCCTACAGCAGACGGCAAAACGCTCCCATCACAGACGAACAAGCCTTGGGTCTCCCAGCTCTCGCCATTCTCGTCCACCGCTCCTTCTCCCGCTGAGGCACCCATTCGGCAACTCCCCATCTGATGTGCTGAGAAGTACGTTGTCCAGTGCTCCCCTCTCGTCCTCACTCCCCCAACCGCGTCCACACTGTCCAGAAACTCTTCCATTGCTTGTTTGGTAAGTCCCTTGCACTTCATTCTCTGTCCGTCGCTCCTGTAGAAAGAAAATAGCTGGTGTTATTTAACTATACTGATACAATCCCCATAACCAGAATTATCCTATCTCTAGTCTAGATTGGCAGTTCCTTGTCCAAATGAAATGATATCATCTGAATTTGTATCTTGAAGATGGATGGTAACACTTTGATCCCTAATTTGCGGTTGAATTTTTGCCAAAATGAACCATTTAAGCCTTTCTCAGAACTGTATCTATAACAAATATAATGTCTGTTTACAATTTAAGACTTTTCTAGTAGCTTCTCTTTTCAAAGTTTAGCTTCTTCCTCTCTCTCTTTCTCTTTCTTTTCTTTTTAAAACTTATATTTTGAGATTCTTGTTTGTTAAATAGTTTTTGTATTGTTTTGTTCAGGTTGTGTAAGGATCACCAGCTTACCTGTATGTCCCGACTTCAACTGCGCCCGCGGCAATCAGAATCCTCAAGGCTTGTCTCAATCCCACACTGAGCCTCTCCTTATCCAACTGACTCAACCTATATGTAACATCTCCTTCCTTCACAACCTCACCTGAACCATTGTCCCTCACCAGCGCAAACACATGAGCCGTCCTCCCGTATCTAACCATCCTCTCCTTAAAATCCGCTGCTGACACCCATGGCACCAGCCCTGCGTATGATGCCGGTCCTATCAATGGTGTCTCCAGTACTGCTCTGCTTCCTGACTTCGATTCTGCATCCCTTACATGATGAACTGAGGTGATGATCCCTCCCTCGTACATTTTCCCTTGAAACTCTGAACCCTCCTCGGGGAAGTACCCCCACGTCATTAACACCGGATGCAGCCTTAGGTTTCTCCCAATGTGTGGGTTTTTCAACCCGCTTGAGATCATCAACGGTGGCGTCAGTAGTGACCCGGCTGCTGAAATCGACACTCGGGCCTCGATCCAGAGTTTCTTCTTCATTTTACCCCCTAAAGAACCTGCAACCACTCCCACGCATCTCTTCCTTCGCCCATTGTAGCTGCTATCACTGTTGTTGTTATCTTCTAGTATGAATCTTTCGGCTTTTATACCTGTCAGGATAACGGCTCCATAGTCCACGGCGTCAACCAGCCATGTCTGGTCTGTCCCTTTCTTGTCTCCTGTCCTGCATCCGTACCCGCAAGAGCCGCAGTAATGATCTCCCGGTGAGTTTCTCGGAACTGGATCTACTTTCAACCCGAGTCTCTCGCACCCTTTTCTCAACACCTGGTTTTGAAAGCCGTCTCTTCCGCACCTCTCCTCGACTCCTATCCGTCTAATGACTTCGTCCATCGCAGATTGATATTCTCTACTCGTGAAAAGATTAATCTTATTCTCTGCAGACCATTCCCGCAGAACATGGTCAGGTGTTCTTATCGAGGCCGACCAGTTAACGGTTGAGCCTCCTCCGACAGCTGATCCAGCCAATATCATGAATTTCCCGTCGACTGTCGTCAATATCCCGCTCTTCTCATAAAGCTCAACCAGCGACGGACCTTCCAGAGACGAATAGTCTCGAGGTGTAAAGTAGTTTCCTTTCTCAAGAACGATCACATTCAGACCGGCCTTTGCGAGGTTCGCGGCAGCAACACCGCCTCCGCTGCCTGAACCAATGACCACCGCATCACATCTGATCTTATGAACACCATCGTCGTCTTCTTCTTCTGCGACATGGACGCCTCTGTTGATGAGAGACTGCCTGATGGTAACGTCGTTCTCTTGTGCCGTTTCTATGATTCCCTTATCGAGAGGTCTCTCCTCTTCCGTCTCGTCCCAACTCCCCTCTCGTGTGTCGACTGTGTATCCGATCGCTTCCCATGCAGGATTCTTCGAACGCCCATCCGACTATAAATATAAACCATCAAGTTCAAAACCACTGTGCCTTCAACTAATACAAAAGTTTACATAATCTATGAAACAGCAAAAGGTGTTTTTGATGAATTACGATTAGATTTACCTGGGAAAAGTAATAGAACATGGAGAAGAACTTTACGAGGAGAAAAGTTATACGAAGAGGCACAAAGAGGCCGCCTTGCTTGGACCATGTCCTCATGATTTCTTCTCTTACGTTCAATGGGAGTTCTGAGAATGTATGAAGAAAGGGCCATTTGGAATCAAAGCAGAGAGTGCCGCAGAGCAGCAAACTTCCCAATCTCGAAGAGAGAATCTTCAAGGCAATCTTCACTACCATAATTGCTTCTGGTCGGCCATGCCTCACCATCATCTCCGCCACCTTGTTTTGTCCATATCAACACCGCCAAAAAAAAAATAATCTTCTTTTAGGAAAAAGAAAACCTTTTTTTTCCCCTTAAGTTGTGTTATTACCATTTACCAAACGATATTTGCATATGCAGTCTAATCACCAGGGAGAGGTGCAAAAAAAACAAAAAATCTACGAATCCAAAATCGACACTATTGCATAAGCAGAACCCATCGTATCATTCCTTTTTGTTCTAAAGCAAATCGAATTGGAGAACTGAAAAAGAAAGGAAGGCCAAGGGTACCTCATCAGGAATCGGTGGTTGAGAAGCGGTGGCTCTGTAAAAGGAAACAAGAGCCGGGAAATTCGTCTTGTCTTGGTCCGACAAGGTTTCCGGCGGCGGCGGAGGAAGAGAAGGGAGGAGGGTGTGACAGATCGCAGAAAGTGATTGGATCTGACCCTGAGAGAAGCCATGGCTGTAATCTCCCTCTGCCCTCGTCCTCCACCTTAGCAGAGGATGCCCTCTTCTTCTTCTTCTCTCGTCTTCCATATCGTTACGCTCTCGTTCTTGACTTTGAAAACAGTGTTCTAATCTCGCACTTGTACGACGTTATTGTGCATATACACTTATATATATATATATATATACACACACACACACTCTTAAGCGTAGATTAGTGTATTAAGAAGAGTTGGAATAGGATTGGGTTTACGAGTAATCCGAGAAAAATTGGGAAATCATCAAAGGTCGGACAAAAACATGGCAACTACCGAGTCTTTAACCAAAAAAAAAAAAAACTACTGAGTTTATTGTTAATGGGTCCCACTTTATTCGGGGGTTCTTGTTGCGCCTTTCTTAAAATTGTTGCTTGCGCGATACGGCATATTATCTTTTGGACGTCAAGTTTTGAAGGGTTCATAATTTCATAAAAAAACGTTAATTATAATTACTTTTTCAAACTTGGTTATATTTGAGATTTGTTGCCATTTTTTAATATCATTAATACTTTTTTTATTTATTTTATGTAAATCTAAAAACATTCATCCACAATCTTGTTTTAGAAAACGATTCTCTGTTTCTATAATAATATTCAAATATTAATCATATTATTTTTAATAAAACCATTTTTATTTTCGAAAATATTGAATATTTATTTTAATTTTTTTTTTAACTTTTTCTTATATTTTAAAAAATAATAATAATCTATTTTCCTTTTTCATAGTTATTAACAATAATTTTTTAAAAAAAATTTAAACAAAAAAAAACAATAAAAATTTCATTTGAGTTATAGATTTATTATTTATATTTTGTTAATAAATTTCTAAAATTCTTAAACTATAAAATTTATTTTAACGTATTTTTATATAAATCTAAAACTTTTACAAATTATATTTTATATAATATCAAATAGATCTCCGATAATGTTTGAAACAATTTTTATTAGAAATATTTATTTTTGGATGTAAACAAACAGTATAGCTATTTTTCCTGCTAATATACAACAAATAAATGGGAAATAAGACACATATTTATCTTAACTATGAATTTGAAAATGAATTAGAAAAAAAAAACTTATTTTTTTCTAATTCTTTTTTAGAAAAAAAAGTGAAATCTCGCGTATTTTGGGTGGGCCTGGAGTTCAAGTGAGATCCATTAAAAAGCCCATAATGTAGAAACATAAAGACTCCCTTGCTAACCAAAACAAAGCATTATCTGTTTTTCTGTTTCCTTTATTTTTTTTTCCTCTCTCAATGAAGACGAGTTTTGAAGGGAAAAAAAACGAATGAGCCGTCACGAAGTTCCATCTTATAAACCAAAGACGGCACACATTTCAAAACCCACAACATGTTTGATCATATATATAATTGAATGAAAGAATCAGTGTGTGACAAAACACAAGAGAAACGAAAGATACACATACACTCTCTCATCTCATCATACAAACAAAGAAGGAAAGGAAAATGGAGATTGTCATAATGAATGATCATCAAAAGCCCAGCAACATCTATTGCTTCTTGCTCTGCAAACACATCTCATAATTAAACATATAAACAGCCTTTTCTCTGTAAATTATAAGAAATTAGATAACAAAACATAACTCCCAAGACGAAGAAGAAGAAGAATACCTTTCTGAGGAACTTCTCGTGAATCCTTAAGGCTTCTCTACACGCCTTCTTAGCGTCCAGATTACCTGCTATGTCCCCCAGTATCTATATATATATATACATATATATAGGGAAAAGAAACCAAGCAAGTCTTTCTTATAAGGGTTTTTTAGATCGTGTGGTGTGTGTGGTTGAGAGAGAGAGAGAGAGACCTGAACGACGTCGTCGAGGCCTTTGGCTTCCTTCAAGAGGCGCTTGTTCTTGGTCTCCAAAACACTGGCAACCACAAAAACGGCGAGAGTGCTGTGCTGATCGGAATGAGAATGGACTCCGCTCTTCATGTATTTCCTCTCGAACTTCCCGCACTGCTTCAGCACCTTTGGATCCGTTTCTGCCACGTTCCCGTTCCTGTTTTCTGGTTCTTCGTACGATGCGAACATGTTTGGATTGTATTCCATCGCCCACATCATCTGCATTCACCCCATCCATCTCTCTCAGTCTCATCGATTTCACGGCACACCATACCGTGCAAACACGTAACAACGCCCATTTGGGTTGGCCACTTCCAAAGACATATATTTGCTTGATCTTTAAGTTACCATAGCAGAGATTCTTGTTACCTCCCAAAGGTACAGTGCGTCCATGAAGGAGAATTCTCTCCTGAAAAGTACCATCAGCATCCTTATCGCAAACAGGTATTCCCCTCCATCCAGTTCCTCTGCCATGTTGTTCAATATGTTGCCATGGAGATTTTAAGACAGTAAAGCCAGGTTTCATAATGGTTAAACTAGTTAGTTACTTGCCTTTGGTCTGGTTTTAGATATCTGCAGACAACCAAAAGATATCAAATGGATGGAAGGTTTACGTACCGAGGTGTTGATGGAGCCGAGGATCCACAGTTCTAATGATCTGTGAGAGAACACCGAGCTGAGTCTGTACACCCATTGATGTCGTTGTTGCCCTAAAATTTTCTCTCTGAATTCAATAAAAACCTTAACATCATGAACACCTCGATTTTTTTGGGATAACATGACAGTAAAAGTTATTCCAAACGCTCACTAGTCTCCGCATTGTACGCTCGAAGCACCAGAAGGCGTCGGCTTCATTCTCGAGAAGGATTATCATCGGGGAACATATATCATTCATTCCTACATTTAGGATATTTAGTTAATAGTTTAATCGTTTTGGATGAGTTTTCTTTTCTTCATGTTCATGGTTAATCATTAGCAACCGGATTGATTTACCTTGGACATAACCAATATCGGGATTTAACCATGTATAGACGGCGAGAACATCCCAGAGTCTTGCTTGATTATCCTCCCTCTCATAAAAGGAGAGATACCGATCTGTTCTGACAACGTCAAGACCTGCAACAATTTTTTGTGTACAATAAAATGTAAAAGGGCATCTGATGAACTGATATAGTAAGAGCATACATGTGTTGCAGATGCTTAAAAAGCATGTAAATAAACTTTCTACAAGTAGGCATATACCAATTTGATGCAAAGAGAGCATCCACTGGAGCACTCTCTGGTCTGAAATAGCGGTTTTCACAAGCCATCCTTGATTTTCCGAAGAAGAATCCTCTATCGGCTGCCCGTTTTCCGAGACCACTGACAATGTGATGAGCCTCCCACTACCAATGACAGGAACCATTTTCTGGCATTCTTCTTTCCATGCGTCGTACTGCTCCCTTAGTATGGTGTGGTTAGCCACAAAGTGAAACGAAGTAAAAATTAAAGAACAATATATCGGGATAACTAACCAGTTCTCACGAACAGAAAGGAGGGAAACTTGAGGCAATTGTGCAAAAACGTTACAATGTAAACAGCTTGTATAAAACTCCTTGAGCTTTGAATAAATTCTTATAAGAGAAGGGAAAAAGGAAAAGAAGACATAATGGCCTTTCAATAGGAAAGGCCTTATTCTAACTATTTATTAGACTATCTTTCAAGTTTTTTTTATACCAAAAGAGTATCTTTTTGCTTAAAGAAAGCTTACTAAGCTCTTATTCAGTTATGGATCATATCATTTCTTATGCTCAGATGAAAAATTTTCTAAAGAAGAGAATAGTACCTCCTCTGGCTCCTCAGCCTGTTTCTTTCTTCAAACGTGCTGTTTGGGTCGTAGCATCCTACCAAAAACTCCCAAACCGCTCCTTTGATCGAGGGATGGACTCCCTGACAAAGAAACAAATGATCGTCAAGAAAAAATGCAAACCATTACACCGGAAGAAGAAAAAAAGAGATCATTACACCAAAGTAGACTTACTCCACGCTGTATACGTCTCAGCACTCTTACGATATCCAGATGCCCATCTTCCGTAAATGCAGCGTGCCATCTTCTCGCGCTGAGGGTTTTGCCTGCCTGTTCAGCAGAAGTGGCCATTATCAAGACATGACAATCCCTCAAGAAAAGAATCCATATGTCAAGATTTGTCGAAAATCCTAAACAATATCAAAATATGCCAATCCCCAAACAGAAGCGCCGCCTTGAACCTGAGAGCTCATAAAATTCTGAATCTGATGAGAACCCAGTTCCTTAAACCTCCAACCAAGAGATATTTCAATCCGACAACCAAGCATTAATCAAGAACATTAAAGCAAAAGAAAGTATAACAAGATGTGTCCATTCCTAGAAAAAGACCCACCTTCAACGGAATACAAAAACTTGAAAACGAATCAAAATTCTAAATCTGAAATGAGAACGAATACTTCCAATGTCAAGCTATGGATCATTGGAATTCCAATCCGTGAACCAAGCATCCAAACGGACCGTAGAAATACAAAGAAAGGCCATAAAAGACCCTCATCTCCTTGAACCCGAGCGTTTATCGAATGCTAATGGAGGGAAACTCTAAATCAGATGAGAGCCCAATACTTGAGATCACCAGCTATGAAATGTTATTCCGATCTGGGAACCGAACATTAATCAAGAACATGCGCTGTAAGAAGACAAACCCTGGATTTAAATCGGGTCCTGGGAACATCTGATTGGCATTCTGGTCTAACTGGATAGAAACCTTGCAAATCCTCTCCTCCTGATTTCCACATAACTCCGCAACAGAACATGCAGATTTCCTCTTCTCCCTATTCGTCAAACAAAAATCGGTCATTTCCAGAGAAATCAATTCATGGCGACAACTGGATCAATCAGAGAGACAAATTAGGGATAACTTTGACAACTCGGCAAAAAAATACACGTGTTTGACCAAAAAAAATGGTTTATTGAATTTCCGGGTTTTCGTGATGAATCTGTTGCTATTATTTTTCCTGATTTTATACTGAACTCCATTAATGGAAAGGATCAAGCTTCGGAAACACGATCTATGCTCTTCGAATGATCTTCAAAACTTCTAACGTCTGGGCCTTACCGAATCTAAATAAGAAGATATCTGAATCGAATGAATAATCCAGACGATAAATCGACCGTTCCTTCGAGCATAGAGTTTCGTTTAGTTTTTGTATGATTGATTTCCGAGGGAGAAGATTTCAAAACGACGAACAATGAGGAGATTGGGGCGAGGAAGACGCCCGAGTCACGGCACGATTGCCGTTTGGCCTGCCGTTACCGTTAACGTTACCGCTAATGCTGACTGTAGACGACGACGGTTGGGATTGGCACTAACGACGCCGTTTTATGGAAAGCCTTCAGTTCTGTTAGTCAGTGGCGTTCATAGAACGTGTTTTGACGAGGTTGTGGTTTTCTCCGATTGCCACATCAGCGTCTAATTTTTTATGACGTGATATAGTTGGTACTAATTCAATATTCCGATTGCCACATCAGCGTCTAATCATAGAAAATTCCGTAAAAAAGATTAGGGAAAATGACATTTTCCTACACCGACTTTGTAAAATATGACATTTTCCTATACGAATTTTTAATTTGACAAAAAACTACCCCAAATTATCAAATATATCAAATTGATACACGAACTACCCAATTTAACTGCAATTTCCTACACAATTCGAAAACGGTGTTAAGTGTCTGTTAACCGCTGACGTGGCACGCCACGTAGCGGCTGAGTGGCACGCCACATAGATTTTTTTGCCACATCAGCATACCACCTCGGATTTTAAAAAAAATCCAAAAAAATATGAAAAAAAATCGAAATTTTAAAAAAAATTAAAAATAAAATAAATAAACAGCAAATATATATATATATATATTCATATCTATATACAAATAAAAATATAAATATATATAAAAATAAAAAAACATACATATATATATACTCCTATATATATATATATACTTGTATATTTTTTTATTTTGTATGTATGTATGTATTTATATATATATGTAGGTGTATATATATAAATATGTATTCATATATATACGTGTATACATATTTATATATATGTATGTGTATATATATAAATATACTTGTATGTATATATATACATATATATTTGTATAAATGCATGTATATATGTGTATATTTTTATTTGATATATATAGAAATATATATACATAGAAGTATTTATATTTATATTTGTATTTATATGTGGATATGAATATATATATATATATGTGATTTTTTTATTTTGTATATATGTATGTATGTATATGCATATGTATATATATACATATATATATATTTATATATGCATATGTATATATAAATATATTTGTTTGTATGTATATGTATATATATTTGTATAGATGTTTGTATATATATGTGTATGTTTTTTTATTTTATATATATATTTATATTTTTATTTGTATATAGATATGAATATATATGTATATATATATTTTGCTGTTTATTTATTTTATTTTTAATTTTATTTTTTAAAATCGATTTTTTTCATATTTTTTCGGAATTTTTTTAAAAATCCGACGTGGCATGCTGATGTGGCAAAAAATCTATGTGGCGTGCCACGTCAGCCGCCACGTAGCGTACCACGTCAGCGTTTAACGGACACTTAACACCGTTTTCGAATTGTGTAGGAAATTGCAGTTAAATTGGATAGTTCGTGTATCAATTTGGCACATTTGATAATTTGGTGTAGTTTTTTGTCAAATAAAAAATTCGTGTATGAAAAGGTCACATTTTACAAAGTCGGTATAGTAAAATGTCATTTTTCTAAAAGATAAAAATGTTAACTTACGTCTAATTTTTTGGAATACAATTTAACGTTCATAGTCATAGCTAAGAATTTAAAATAGTTTTTATATAATTTTTTAAAGATTTTTATAGTTTTTCTATATAGGTTGTCAATTCTGACTCGAATTTTGAAATCCGTTTCGATCCGGTTCGAAAAATAATGGGTTTCGGATCTAAATATTTCAGTCTAAAATTTTTTGAGTTTTCAAACAATGTTTAGATCAGATTTTGGATCGTCACGAAGTTCGAATTTTTTAAAAAAATAATAAAAATAAATTTAAAAGTCGATCTGATCCAAATCTAAATCCAAATTTTATAGAATCGAATTTCGAATTTGATTATTTAAACTCGTAAAAATGGGAACAGCTCGAGCCCGAGCCTGACGGAAACCCTCGGCGGCATTTTATCTTTTTTATTTCACTAACTGGCATATTTCCTAGGCCCGTTGGACTAATGTTACGTGACATGTAAGACCTAAATGGCTAAACCCCATTTTATGGACAGAGTACAGGGCTTGTATGGGCTTGTTCAAAAAAGAATATCACTTGATGGGCCTGAGTAGGCTTTAGAATCATACCTGCTTATCAGAAAGGGTGGTGATGAATGATAAGCTATTCGACAATTGCACAGTGCTTATCACGGGCCTTTCAGGAGAAGGAAGGGGGTGGAGGTGCGCATGTTAGTCAGCGTCACCGCCGCGTTCGTTCTAATCCCGTGCATAGCACACAATTTATGACCGGCTTAAAGGAATTTGATTTCGGATTAATCTGAAGATACACGGTCTCGAATTGAACGAAATTTGTACGATCGGAGAATTCGATCGGACGCGATTTTATTTTTCTGAGGATCTTCCGGATTCTGCTTCATCTATTTCTAAAATCTTCCAAATTTTGGTGAAATCCGGGTTAGTTTCCTGCTTCTACACTGGTAATTCTGCAGCTACATCGGTAGCCTGATTTGTATGAAGCTTGTCTGACCGCGTTGCCGATTTAGGGTTCATGTCTTCCTGTTCGGTTTCGGTTTTAACATTATACTTGATGGGTCTCAGCTGGTTGTGTCGTTTACTCCCAAAATCGGAGGAGGAAGCTCTGGAGAGATTCAATGCTATACGATGATCGGGGTTTATAGTTGACATGATCAATGGAGGAAGAGGAGGATAAATTCTTGTTGAGTAGTTTAGGGGTGACATCTGCGAATCCCGAAGATATCGAACAGACGATACTAAACGAGGTATGTGTTCTTTTGTTTGTTCTTTTCTGGAAAGAGAGAAGCTTTATGACTGGCATTAGCTGCTGCATTCTTGATGCTTTGCTAGGTTTCTTGTGTTTAAACACTTATCTTGATTGTTGTCTTCGCTTATCTTTAGAATATATGGGATTTGAGTAACAGTCCATGAAAAGCCGTTAAATTGTCGAATTGTGTAATTTGTGTAGTGACTTGATATATTTGTGCTTGTAATGTCAGTATGATCCTGACTGAAAGTAGAAGTGTCCATTTTAGGCAAAGAAGAAATTAGAGGATGGGGAGGGTGGGAGCGCAGTGGGTGAGCCCTCTGGTCAGTTGGAGTTGGAAAGAACTGATACATTGCCTTCTAGCCATTCGGAGCTTTTGAGTAAATTAAGGGCTGTAGAGTTTGAAATAGATGCTGTTTCTTCGACTGTCGAGGACGTTGCAAAAGATGATAGCTTAAAGAAAAACGGCGATGAAGCTCATATTCAGGCTCCGCATAATCGTTCTTCACTCCAGCATGCCCTAGCCACCGACCGTCTAAGAAGCCTTAAGAAAAGAAAGGCTCAATTTGAAAAGGAGCTGTCTGGTTTACATGGCGACGGTGTTTCTGAGGGTATTGATCGTGATAATCTACTGAGAAATCTGGTGAAGGAAGAGCCTAGTCTCAAGAGAAAATCGAAAGAGGCTCTCAAACCAGGCAAGAAAGAAAGGAAGAAGGTGAAGACTGTCTCAATTCATGATGACCCTGATTTCGACGCTGTCCTTGATGCAGCTTCTGCAGGTTTTGTTGAAACGGTTAGTCAGATGCTCGCTTCTAAATTTTTCTGCTCACCTGAATCATCGTGAAATCGTATATACTTTTGTGAAATATCTGTATAAAACACAGCGGCAAATTCACGGCTCTCTTTTTTTATTGGGTCTAGGAAAGGGATGAATTGGTCAGAAAAGGAATTTTAACTCCGTTTCACAAGCTTGAGGGATTTGAACGTCGACTTCAACAACCAGGGCCATCCAATTGGCATAACATTCCTGAACAAGATGATGAAAATGACAACGATGAGGACTCTGCTAGTATTGCTAGAGCTGTTCAATCGATGTCTTTGGCTGCAAAAGCTCGCCCAGCTACCAAGCTGCTGGAAGCAAAAGAGTTGCCAAAGCTTGAGGCACCTACTATTCCTTTTAAAAGGCTAAGAAAACCTTATAAGACTCATCATGATTCTCCGGAAAAGGAAACGGAGAATGGAAAAACTGCTATGGCTAAAAAGAAACGGCCTTTGCCGGAGAGGAAATGGCAAAAGCAGATTTCCCGTGAAGATATCGATCTTCAGGATAGCGGTATGGTTTATTGCTCTTAATTATGAAAACAAAGTAATTGAGAACAAAAACTGGATATGCACTAGAGGTACATTCTCATGTTAATTTTCATCTCGGTGTTGCAGAAGATAGGCAGAGAAACTCAACCATTTCCAGCTGTGAGGAAGAACAGCTAGATGAAGATGATGACAGAGGCCATAACGAGACATCATTTGTATTGCTTGAAGGTGGATTAAAAATTCCTGAAAACATATTCAGTAAGCTTTTCGAATACCAAAGAGTTGGAGTGCAGTGGCTCTGGGAACTTCACTGTCAAAGGGCTGGTGGCATTATTGGGGACGAGATGGGTCTTGGTAAGACTGTACAGGTCTTATCTTTTCTCGGATCCTTGCATTTCAGCAAGATGTACAGACCAAGCATTGTCATATGCCCTGTTACTCTTGCACGCCAATGGAGGAGAGAAGCACGGAAATGGTACCCAGGTTTTCACGTGGAGATACTCCATGACTCAGCGCAAGATTCTGGACACGGGAAAGGACGAGGCAAGGCCTCTGATAGCGATTACGACAGTGAAGGTGAAGTTGACAGTGACAATGAGAGAAACTCGTCCAAGAACATCAAGAAATGGGACTCTTTGATAAAGCGGGTTCTGAGATCTGACTCGGGCCTGCTCATCACCACGTATGAGCAACTGCGACTTCTGGGCGAGAAGCTGCTTGATATTGAATGGGGTTATGCAGTATTGGATGAAGGTCACCGTATCAGGAATCCGAATGCCGA